GTTTGTTGTTCTTTCATTAGTTTACTCAAACAGAATGCAACATAAATGAGACGAGTGCTGCTCCATTTGTTTTACTTCGATGTTATCTTCACGTTTATACTACTTGTGTTTCGGATATTATCCCAAGTTTTTTTTCTCTTCTATTCAAACATGTTCAACAATTACTTTCATACATTATTCAGCTATTGGTCAGGGAAATCATATCATTTAATTGTGTTATAGTATAGATGCATCATAACCATCTATGATATACTGTAGATCCGCATTAGTAGTTGTCATTATCCTCTCGCATATCCCGTACGTTGTATGCATGGCTAATTGAATGTCACTCAGTATATTGAATACCTGAGCTTGACAGCGATTTACTGATACAATAGCTTGCGTTAATACCACGCAAAAAGGCTTTTATAGCGAAATAATTGCTACCCATAAACTTTAATTATAACGGTCAACAGTAATCAGCACCCTTATGCTAAACTAACTAGTTTTAATTGGCTTCTGTCCCCGACTTCGGACGCTTTGTGTTTTGATTATCTTAATGTTAAAATGTTCCTCTTTTCTAACTTTAAAACTATATCAATATCATACTTTATGTTTGACTGTGAAATGAAATCCACGTGGGATTTCATTTATACTATTTTATTTTCATACTATTTTATTTCATTAATAATTTAGAATTGAAAAACTTTAAAGTTCATAGCACTTCAAAATAATTCACAATTCCCAGAAGTATAAGTGCTAACTCTCAATTTACAACTTTAATACAAAATATGAGAACATGAAATACCTTTTCCCCCACCCGGAGCGTCCCAGCTTTATCTATCGACGTGCCTGCAGACAGAAGGCTTTGAAGATATCCTCCTTAATTTACAGCCTCAAGTGTGGAACCCTGATCGATTTATTGGAAGGATATAACTTGGATACATTCGATTGGATGATAACAACTTTGATCTTGTTAACCGACTTCAAAAAAAGGAGGAGGTTCTCAATTCGATTGTATTTTTTTTTTTTTTTTTTTTTTATTTTTTTTTTTTATGTTTGTTACCTCAGAACTCCGTCGTTTATGGACGGATTTGCAAAATTTTTTTTATGATTGAAAGGATATGCTTCCAGATTGGTCCCATTCTTTTCAAAATCAAGTTTTGATGATGGGATTCATGAGAAATCGAGGGAACTCCTCAAATATTATAGGCAACTATATAGTAATTTTAATATTTTCATAGAGCACTCAAGCATTTACAGTCAAAAAGTAATGTTTGATGAGGTGGAACTGGTGAAGAAGATCAGAAATGGATGATGAAACTTGACACTCGCATAGATATCACAATCAAGGTAGTTCAGCAACTATGAAAATGCACTGTAAACCAATGATCTTAAATAATTATGTTGGAAATGTTATCATCGAACTGATTTAATGATGATTATGGAGCTGGAAAGTAGGCACTGGAACTGCGTACCTAATTAATATATCCTAGCCGTGTTTGGGCTTGTTAGAATTGTTATAAGATGCACTTTGGCTGTAAGGTACTATTGAACTGATGTGATGATGAAGCTGGAAGGTTGGCATGGGGCCTAGTATTGTGTAAGCTTATTAGAGCTGTCAAGAGCAATGGAAAGGGCTATGCTCATAGTTTCCGTGCATGTTCGAATCAGAAATGAAGAAATCCGCAGAAGAACCAGCGTCACCGACATAGCCCGAAGAAATGCCAAACTTAAGTGACAGTGGGCACGGCACATTGCTCGTAGAACAGATGGCCGATGGGGCCGAAAGGTTCTAGAGCGGGACCGCACACCTTTGGGGGCGGAGTTTGGCCTAGTATTGGCTATTTTGCATTAGTCCACGTGGACTGCGTTTACACATTAGTGGTGAAATGCGTCATTGTGTTCTTATCGTTTTCCTGGTAATAGGCTAAGAGAATTAATTGGCATTTTTAACAAAACAGTCGTTTTAAATGGGTTACAAAACAATAATTGCGTCGTACAAAACAATAATTGTGTTTCTTTTGTGTGCACATATGTAGATAATACTTACTTAAAAAAGGTTCATACATTGAATGAGTCATAAATGTATATTTACAATAGCGATGGTCTTTTATATTTTTACCAACTTGTCTATATATGAATGTTCTTAGTAATAACAAAATAGTATTCTTCATTTAATGGGTTACAATTGATACAAAACAATAATTGCATCGGTCTTTTTTCTATGTACGAATGTATTTAATCATAGATACTAAATTAGATTGCATTTGGTATCTTTGAACTTTATTTGTCTGTTGATGAAAATATCTAGTTTTTTGTTATTTGGCGAGAACTAATATGAATTTATGATAAGATTATTATTTTATTTTAACTATAAGTCATAAGTATCTCATGCATCATATCATCTCTCCTCGAGATCAAAACGATTACACAGTAACAATGTACTATGATATGTATTTCTACGTATAAGTATGATATTGGTAACTTTTTCAAAAGAAATGTAGGAACGATATTGACTTCTTTGCCATAACACATTATAATAAAAAAAAAAAAAACACTAAACGGCTACAAATAAAAAAAAAATTTACAAAATAAAAAAACCGCCTTCAAAAAAAGTCAAGCAATAAAAGTTCCTACACTAAAAAGTAAAAAATAACAATTTGAATTACTGTAAAAAAACTTAATTTATAGGTAAACTTATTTGACATTAATATTTTGCAAATATTCAAAATTTATTACTTATTTTTGGAGTCGGTGCCAGCCCATGCAAGGAAATACAAATGGGCAACAATCCCTTGAAAAACTACCTCTTACTTAATTATAAAACTACTTAATACCTATTTGCATACTCAAATATAGGTATATTAATTAAGACATAAATACAGATTAGACTTCTCTACAAAAAATGTCCGATTTGCACATTTTTTTAAATAAAAAATATGTACTTACAAAAACATTTTAAGTACATTGAAAATGTTTAAGCATTATGTACGAAAAATGGCACCGGATATTAAAAACCTAACTAACATTAAGTTTCAACATCAAAATGCTGGCACCGACTCCAAAAATAAGTAATAAATTTTGAATATTTGCAAAATATTAATGTCAAATAAGTTTACCTATAAATTAAGTTTTTTTACAGTAATTCAAATTGTTATTTTTTACTTTTTAGTGTAGGAACTTTTATTGCTTGACTTTTTTTGAAGGCGGTTTTTCAAAGTCGACTCAAAGGAGTTCAGAACCTCACTGATTATGTTACTTTCATGTACGCTAAAGAAAGTAACAAATGTCGAAAAAAAAATACCTTCTTGAGTCTACAAAGATGTTTCTCTTGTCGTCGTAAATCTCCGGACACCAATATTACAGGTTTATGAAGATTGCGATGTAAAAATTGTCGTGTCTGCTTCCCATATAATATTTACGGGCGTGTTTTAAAACGAGACATTCACAAGAGGATTATGTTACGCTTAAGTTATTACTTATTATGAAAAATGTAACACAGACAGAGGTTCATCGATATTCTTCGAGAATTTTACGATAGAAACTCTGTATCCGATATCAAGGCAGATAATATTCACAAACGTACTTCAAGCTGATGTTAAAAGTGTTTCTGTCTGTACTGTAAAGAATTTTTACTGCAACGTATTGCAAGCCGCCTATAAAACAGAGACGTGCAGGCACTAAAGCATACCCTATGTACCTGTGATCTAGGAAGTGCACGCCTTCTTTGTGTGCATTAACATTTCAGTACATCTTGCTACATCCAAGAAGTTACAAGTTTTAAGACAAGGTCGTTTGTTTTGTTTAGTATTGCCAATGTTTATCGTCACTCATCTGCACCTACAAACTGCTTGACGACAATATTTTAAAGTTTTGAAGTTATCCTAAGTCTGAAATCGTCTGTTCACTATACTAATTAATTTTAATTTTGGTTAACTGAACATATAAGTGACAAGTGAACGTCTTTACCGTGTATTGTGTGGAAGCCGTGGTTGATACAGTATAGTTAGTCTTTAGTCTTCATTATTAAAATATTAAGGAGTAGCGCTTGTTCGTATAATTCATGGAGATAGAAGGGAGATTGTTAATTAACTGCTAGAATATGCGGAGTCCATTTGCCAAGTTTCTGTCCACTAGTAAAAGCCGGTCTTACCCACTTGAATTATATCGTGACTTTACAAAAGAACTTCATAATACACATAATACGTTCATAAATCAGAATTTATCCGTTCTCACTTGTTGTAATGTGCATAACATTTATGATATTGATTTTCCCGTACACCTGTCGCGCATATCAGCACTTTTGTTTAACTTAATCTGATTGCATACCGCTAAAATATCGATACGTGGAAATGAATCCGAGAGCAATACATCTATTTTGAGCACCACTCGCTAAATCCTGCGGAGCAATTTATTTTGCCCAGGGAAATAGTATTTTACACTCGTAAAATGGTAAACGTGGATATTTCGAGTCGTATTCTTTGCACGTCACATTGACCAAAGTAATTAAAACCACAAGAATAAATGCAGCCGGCAAATTGTATTTCCACGACGTTTCCCATAATTATAATATGCAAATGAAAGCGACCATTAAAAGCAAGTTCTCCAATTTGCAAGTTGAAAACTCGGGCAAAGTCAGCCACACTGGGAAAAACGTACGATTGAAAGAATTCGTTTTAATGCTTTGGTTGGGATCAAACGTTAGCTCTGTACTGGGATGTTGTTATGAAGACAAGCCACGTGCTGATGTTTGCGAGTCTCAGTGGAGCACTGGAGGTTCGCTCCGTGACAGCTCCACGACCTCGTTCCTTCCCGAAAGGCTTAAACTTACTTTGTGGTGCACCTGTGCTCTGTCTAGACTCAAATCTTCTTAGCCTCGCTCGGATAAAGTGATTTTTACAACTTCCGTTTACCAAGTCGCGCAGATTAACTTTACAGTCTACCATTGTAAATGTTCTGAGGTGTTTGTTGTCATTTTATTTTTAGACGTCTCTAATATAATATCTGTTTGTTCACAGGAATTCGCAACTCTCACAAAAGAGCTCAACCAAGCACGAGAACAGCTCCTCGAGAGGGAAGAGGAGATATCAGAGCTCAAAGCGGAGAGAAACAATACCAGGGTGAGTTTATCACGAAACTTTTAACATTTTATGCATATTTCCCCCACAACTATTAAATTGAATATCTCGTGACCTCTGAGCGCGAGGAGTTAATATAAAGCTGACACCGCAACGACACAGATGTTTTGTGGTCCGGATGAAAAGTGCCCGTCACGTAAATACCCTTAAAAGAGCAGACGAGAAACCGTTTACAGTGCTCAGCCAAGCAGACAGCCAGCAGCTTCTTGCACCAATCTTACATATTTACAGTTTTCACTTTTAAATTATTTTTGTTGCAATAAAATGTTGCTTGCACTCTCTAGAGATGCATTAGCTACTCGGTGAGTTAGGTGATTACTGTTCGTCCGTTACTCCGTCTCTCCACGTTATGATGGAATACCAAGTCAGAATAATCAACTCTGGCTTGTTTTACAAATAGGTATACCTGTTCTATTCAGAGAGTTGTTAAAATGTTTTGTTATGAATTTGGAGTTCATATTTTTGTCGTTCATTGACTTACTAGACCACTTTATTGATTTACTCGAGTTGCAGTTTTGGTCGAAATATCTTGTGCACCCTATAATAAGTTTTCAACTAACAGGTATTTCAACAAATTGTGTGGTCAGAGGTAACCCTTTTGAACAATATTTTGTTACCTCGTCAAGAACTAAAGAGACTCATACATTAAGCCGTGTAATGTGATTACCTTCTAAATTGTAATGTCAACTGCTACATCTAAAAATACGCCACGACTCCCTTTTAAATACTTCAATGTTTTCTAGCCAATTATGACAATGTAACAATGTCCCTTAATATGTATATCAACACAGTGATGACTATAATACTACCATATTAAACGTCTTAGGCTTCATATAAAAGGTGCTCCAGCTATTCGCTGAAAGGCGTTGAATAATTCAAGAGGATCCGCGTCTAGACCACGCCCCACCCATAGGTCTCTAGGGCTTAGCCTTTGATTGAATTTGACGTACTAACTAGATTATCAGTTATCAAGTGCTCCACCATAAAATTTTATATCAAGCGTGTCGAAAGCCTAACTAAAACCCGAAATCGATTTTAAATGAGCGGTCCCGTAGGAAGTCCATTAAATATTTCACGTCATGAATAGTTAATTCATTTGTTTTTAAAGTTGGGATAAAAGCTTATGTTAAAGGTGTGCCATTATTGTCGAAATTATTAATGACGTGTCGGTTGACGTTGTGATGCTGACGATTGGATCCATCATTTACATTTTAATAGATAAGTATACTTTGTGTCTACTGAAAATTCTCTTTAAACACAACATCAGAGATTCTGTTTCATTTATATCGGTCACATGACCTCTCCAAGGTCGTTTAAGACGTTTCAAAAAGTGACTTATTTGTCAACATTTTCCCGGTACTGTACTGCCTCACGCATAGCTAATGTCTTCCTGTGTGAAGTGCACGTGTATCCTCGCCTCCTGCTTATCACAAAGGCTCTCGTACGAGGCAAGTTAGCTACAATCAGCCACTAATCTCTTTATCTCGTCCTGTGTCATTGACCCCTCTCCCTCGGTCCACAAGCGTCTCAAAGTTCCCTCATTTAGTTTTGTCCCGATCCTCTGTACAAAGTCAGCTCTGAACTGTTATACTGTGAAGCAAATGACTGTTAATTTGAATTGGCTTTTAGCTGATTACGTATATTGAACTGGTTGTTGTTAAACATCTGTATACAATTATGAAAACACTTTCTGTTTATATAGGAAAGAGCAAGTCGGTGTCAGCTATTTATTAAGAAGATGACGTAAAATTGTGTATTATCTTTAAAATCCAATAATGAGTGATTTATGATTTATTCAATGTCTTTAAAAATATATATAATTTTTATTATACTTGAACGCACTAGCAGCTTAGAAAGCGGATGCGTCCGTATTAATGAAGATTTTGTCCAGTCTATTTTAACAAATTGTGGGAGCTTTTATCATTACCTAATGCATAACTTTAATTCCGCAGTTACTACTAGAGCACCTAGAATGCCTGGTCTCGAGACACGAGCGCTCGCTACGCATGACGGTAGTGAAGCGACAGGCGGCCGCGCAGTCCGGCGTCTCCTCCGAAGTAGAAGTACTGAAGGCACTCAAAAGCCTCTTCGAACATCACAAGGCGTTAGACGAAAAGGTAAGGACTAAGGACATGTCACACCCTCTCCAATGATCCCTCTGTTTGAACATTGATAAGGACTTCAAAAGAATGTGTGGCATATGGAAACATGATAGTCCCATAGGATTATTGAGTGACGTCATTAGAAAATTCTATTGTTGTTAGCGACTTGTATGCTGCTCTGTAATACTTGACGTGTTCAACTTGAACCCTAGTCTTCTTTAAACTAATGTTATTTCATAATCGAGGTGTTGTCTTCGATAACTAAATCGAAGGAGAAATATACACAAGCTATTCCTACGCGGCTACAACAGCTGCCTGACTCCTATTTCTATAAGTCGTTTTTACCTAAGCTTGAAAAAATTACATAATAATTTGTTCAAGTGAAACCAGTAGTTCCGCAGATTAACGCAAACAACACAACTCTTCAGCTTTTTAATACTACACATCTACTAATACTAATCTAAAACTACATATGTCAAATTCTATGAATACGTAGTCACAATAAAACACTAAAGTACTGTATAGAACCCTTCAACGATTTGTTTACTCAGTCCCCGAAAATACATAAACGGTACAATTGTCACGTATGTGGAAACTTATCGATATTACTGTCACAATTTCCCTACGAATATAAAACGTCTAGCCGTAAGTATGTTTAGTAGTTTTGTAGGGAACGCAATTGATATTGGAACGAGCAAACTGACACACAAATTTATATTTTTTGTTTGACGTTCAAAAGTGTATTTGACTTTCATATGTGCTGCGACGTGTTACAGGTTCGAGAACGGTTGCGTGTCGCGTTAGAACGAAACACGGCGCTAGAAGAAGAACTAGCGCTCACTAAGGAAGAAGTAAGTACTTTTGAATCGTATTTTAATAATTATGTAACTTTAAAATTAAGGTATTGTGAATTTATAATCGCATTTTTTAAATAAAATTATTGCAAATAAAGAATAATTAGCCCAAAAATAATTGATCATCACATATTTGATGTGATGGCCGCTACCTGGCTTAAGGGTCACAGTTGTTACCTAACCTAACTTAGGCGAGTAGGGGTGACCAAAAAGTATTTTGTACACATACCTATGAAATAAGCCTTCACATTGTATTTCATATTATACAGGGTGTAAAAAGACACTTAACGAAGCCGTTAACTACGCATACTGCAGTTCTAACTAAGTAGCTTTACGCTAAAATTATCACTGGGAAACGACTTTTATTTTAGGTATCAAAAAAAAAAATATTGCGCGCAATGTAAAGCAAACGGGATTCGTGTCATTATGTGCGTAGGTTCACAGCTAGCATTAAAACGCTGTGATAAGTGGTAGTCGACGTTTTACTTCGCAACAAGAAAACAATTCTGTAAAATAAAAATCCTACTGAGATGCACGATGTTTTTTGTGCGGGTCTGCATTTATTTATTACGTACATTACTGTTCGTAACTTCAAATGCGTAATTTATTTAGAAAAATCGAAAATTCAGGTAATGTTTGTTTGGAAAAAAGTTTTGTAATAATACATAAGATTCGATAGCGCAAAAAATAGAAAATAAAAATGCATCTTTTACCTTTAATATCTCGAGAACCCGTGGAGTCCCAGCTATGGTCTTAAAGAAAAATATGATCCAAATAATGGGTAGAATACGTGGCTTTCGGCTTCGTTAAGTGTCTTTTTACACCCTGTATTTATTTACGCATTAATTAAATCGCTAAGATTTGATGATCACTTGCTGTTTTTGGTGTTTGAATATAAATTGAAGTGCAAGAAATAAGGGTATCATATTATGCTGGTCTGATTACGCATTATACCCCATATAAACATGTAGAAAAAAATTGTGTTTGTTGTTATTACATCGTCCATAGGAAATGGTAAACGCTTGGTTACCTTTAAATAGGTATTTTCTATAATAATAATTACATTCACAATAGAGTAAAGGTGCGCGTACCTTTACAAAACAACCTTTTAACATATCAAAAGCTTAAATACAAATGGTACATTGTCCACACAAACACTTCGAAATTCGATTGTAAACTAATCAGTTGATTTGATGTTCGATCGTCCTATGATGTCGGAGTACTAATTGTGTATAACAGGACAGAGGACTTCGTTGAATAGTTAACAGTAGTCAGATTTAACCCGTACTAACGAACGAACTCTAGCCGGACCTCCCGTCACTTGTTTTGACACGTTCAAATTATTAGGAGTTACTACAAAATACTTATTTGTTGATCCAGTTACGCTAAAAAAACTAGAAGGATTGGCACAGTCTGACAATGATAGAGCAATGACTTGGTTAATCTTGAATCTACTACTAGATTGTCTCTGCTTCATCCAAAGGTAGACTGGAAGAATATTATTTTTTTTATAAAGCCATAACTAAAAAAAATAACGAATTATGTACCTAAATTAACTAAGAAAAGCTTTACTAGGAATCGAAGGACTTTTATCATGAGCAAAAAAAGAATCAGAATCAAAAAATTAGGTCTTGTGTGACTCACATCTAATTAAACCGTGATTGAAACGCAGATCTACGCGAAACACGACTACTTACTCAATGACAATTGAGGTGCAGTCGTCAAGAGCTAATAGGATCTTACCGACTTCTTCAATAACCTGCTCCTTTAGGATGTCGGCTAAATAGGCGAAGACATTTTTAGATAAATGTATGTAGGCAACTACATCACACTAGGATGAAGGTCAAGGAAATGTCATGAGAACCAATATTGCTGCTACTAATAATTATTTTGATTACGATATCCAAGCACGATCTCGTGAAGGTAGATACTGGTACAGAATACCAAATAGCATCCTATTCCTGTTGCTGTGATACCATCTGGAAGGTGGAATAAATATATATTTCCTGATCTGGGCTCTTGATAAGAGTACCTACCCTAAACCCCAGTGAAAACAAAATCGTCGGAATTTCAAAATATTTACATGAATTTGTGGGATGAAATTTGGGTGTAAAAGCGGTTGGCGTACCCACGGTTCACCAATTATGTTATGAACATTCGATTAAGGGCAAATCTATCGCAATGGGTATCAACCAAGCACATTATCACATTCTTGCGGCCTTATTACAAAACAAGGGTTTTCTTTAGTGTAGAATCGAAGATAGGTCAGAATAAGAAACAAAATTCAAAATCTGAAATCTTTAAATCTAGTTTTGTCATAAGGGGGTTTGTTATTAAAACCAATTACAAACCAGCGGTACACTGTTACGTTTTGTAACAATTATTAACCTTATAGCAAATTGATAATGAAGAAAACTACAAAAGCCAACAGAAAAATATTCAGAAAGTAACGAATTACGCGAATTATATGGCAGAAGCTCTACTAGTTTCATTCAAATCACACGCTACTCGTGAATAAGATTCCCGTTCAGTTTTTCTCAATTAACTCACTTGAATGAGTCGTTATTTTCAATAAATATAGAACAACATTTAATATGTTACCTACATTTTATAACATTATCTCACATCTGAATTCCTCAACCAGTTGCAGCAATACAAATCGTCTCAAGACGACAAGCCGAAGGAGAACGGCACCGTCCCCACCGGCTCGCCCGAACAGAACGGGGAACAACAGACCACTAAGGTAAGTCCTCTATTCCATCCACTGCAATAACATACTCTTATCTACACTTGAACATAATGTATATTACAAACGGGGCGGGATTTATTCATTTGTCTGTGAATTACATGGAAACAAAAACTTGCGTTTGCGACTCTGTCTCTATAGAAACTGTGTAGGTAGGTACCTATATATGTGTATTTGAGATAGATTAATTATATACAGAACAGTGTTCTTGTCATTGGTTCTACTATTCGTAAAGACGTACAAGTTCATGTTATATTTTTTTTTCTAATGAAATCTTTAACGGTATCCAAAACTACTTTAAATTTTGAATTAATCTCATTATTCGTCTTTGATTTTTTTCTTATCACCGTCTACAAAATCTTCGTAAAATATATCATGTAATTAACAGACAATTTGATTACGAATTCACGGTAACGGAACAGCACTGGGGAATGAATATACTTTAATTTAAAACTATGAAAGTGACACACACACAGACACTAACAGAGAATCTTATGAAGGAACACACTCTAATATGTGTTATCTTTAATCCCCCCTTAGTTGCTTAGGCTGTGAACTTATCAACGACTAATAATCCTTTTTCTAAAACTGCCTGTTCTCTCCAAAAAATATTGTAAAATTCCTATTAAACTCGTTTATGACGGACTTTAGACCCCGGCACAAAGAAATGCTAATATCCAAAATGTTTCACCCAATTGATAATTTTCCATTTCTACAAAAGAATATTTGGTCTGGCATCGGCGGCGATTTCAAGTACCTACCTAATATTAGGGAAAGCGGGCAGCCGTATCTAATAAAAACTAAGCTTAATCTCTAAGTAGATTGTTTTTATAGTTTCTACTTGATATCATATTTTAATTAAAATTCTTTGTCAAAATGGTCTTGGAGAATTGAGCAAAATACTTTTCCAATTTCTCGATGTTTTCGTGTATTATTGATGAGTTCGCAACCTTAGTTGTTGGTGATTGTGCTATATTTTTTTTACGTACCATCTCTAAAGTGGCCTCATGTCCTTTCGAAAAAAGATTGACTGATTCAAACGCTGTTGGACACTTTTCAGAAATGGTACTTTGTGTGTATTCAATACTTTTGAATATACCCAATAATGTTTTACTTAATTCATAATTTTGCATAAATTTAATATTATATAACTTTTTTAATTTTTAACTCTAATCAACCCCCTTGCTTTAAATTATGAATTGATTAAAACATTCCTAGAAACTGTCGCTTTAAAAACGAAATGAATAGCGTTTAGTTTTACATTTAAATTTGTTTTTTGATGGACGACACAGGATCCAAATAATGTAAACGGCGAATCGGAGACGACAAGGAAAATCAGTGAACTCCAAAATACGATCGCCAAGCAGGTTAGATACGCTGAGCATCATGCTGTACTGTACCTCTTCCATGAGTTTGAAGTAATAGTATTCTTCGGTACTAGATAGCGACGCCATACTTTTATTATACAACTGATTTTGCATCGCCTCTATCGGTCCCTTATAGAACTAAAAATTGCCATCCAGAATAATGACGTTATCGCTATCGAGTATCGACCAATACTTTGAACATTGCTTTTAACTTACGTGATTAGTTGGTGGGGGGAGGAGCTAACTATGGCTAGTTTACGGAACTCCTATAATACACAATTGTATCGAATCTTTCACGCGAATTGAAAAGCAAATCAACGTCCATAGTCACCGCAAATAAAGTTATTTATACATTTTTCAGCAAACGGCAATATGCATAACGCCAATCGAAATCATAAATTAAACATGGCGTCTGAGTTCTGTTGTTCGTGTATTTACATAAATTTGTTTGCTGATACGATTTTTTGTTAAATTTACTGTTAATATCAATCTGACGTTCGTAAACGAAAAAAACGATGATCAATCTGACATTTTCAGTATTATTTGTTTATGTCAGAGGCAGTTCTTGTGAAAAAAAACTTAAGAAAAGAAGTAGATAAAATCGCGAACTAGACAACCCTTCGTCGTTAGCGAGAGGTATTTACACACAGGGCGTAATAGAATTGTGCAATAGCAGTCCGTAAACACCATGGAAAGCCGTTCAACACCATCGAATCAGACTAACAGACCCCTAACACCGTGGTCTGGTCGCCATTGCACGATCGTGTCGCCATCTATACCGCATACATCGTACTAACGCATACGAACCTACTACTATATTGCTAACCAAATGTATTTAGTCATTATAAGTTTAATATCTTTTAGATTAATTAGCGAAGTTATTGTCTTTTGGCCACTGCATCATCATGTCTTAGTCTAAAATTTAAACATTTTCTGGGTTACCTAGTTAAGAATAAAAATATAAACCAGCATCCTTAAAGCTATAGAAGTCTATATTTATATAATAATTGCAGTTGCATTGGCCAAAAGACTTAAACCTGTATAATATACAAACAAACTAAGCATAGTGTATACCTCTAGTTACCATAGTTTTATTTGTATATAATGTAGCAGAATATTATATAACATTATTGTTATGAACCATTTGTTAAAATTGAAAGCACAAAGCAATGACTATATAAATTTGCAGCATTATATTTAAGTCCTTTACTTTCAATGCAGCAATTTGATTCTATATTTAAAACCGTCTTAAGAATGGAGTAGCATGCTGCTTCTTGCAGCTTTAAGTAAGGTAATTCTTGCAGCTTGGTCCTGCTCGATTGCTTAGAACGAATCGCTTTAATTCTAAAAGGTAAATTTTGACAAATGGTATGTCTAAGCAATGTATCAATACGAACTTTTGACATTAAAACAAGTATCTGCAAAATGACTCAGTAAGGGATACATTGCTAGACTGTAATTTTAAAGTATGTACTATAGAAGCATGCACCCCATAGACTAACAGACGCGCACTGACATCATGTAATACGTCTAATCTAGGACCACAGGCATCCACATCCCATGACACTAACACTTTCACTGGAGAACCACAGTAGTTGAGGTACCATGGTAATCTACTATCACACACTGGCAAACTAACCTAAACCAATTATCTACAACAGGCAGCACATCAAACTATCCCTTCTTTTATTCAACTTTTGTCCTTAATATAGAGCAATAAAGTTGAAAATTTGTTTAAAAGTTTGAGTAAATAGGGTAGTTTGATATGCTGTACTGTGTGCATATCCATTGCGTCTTATGTATTCGGATGCAATTACAATGTAGTTAGTTATACAGTAATGGATGCAACTTGGTTCAAGAAGTACTAATTAACGGTATGTATTGATCTAATGGAGGATATACTTTAAAAAGAAAGCATAATAAGTAAACATCTCCCTTACCTCCCTGGTCGAACAATATAAAAAATAATGCTTGAATAAATTAATTCTAATGAAAATTTTCTCAAAACAATATAAGCACGTTGCTACCAAAAATATTTAACAACGCTTAAATTTTAAGCACTAGAACCTATATAAAATCACTATCTATTCACAAAAATCTGTTATTAGTCTCGGCTGTACATCTTTTATCATGAATTCTCCATTAACATCCCCATTACGTATGACAGTCAGCAGAGCTAAGCTCCTGGCAGCGGCGTGTAGCTGAGCTGAACAACAAGGTGTCCGAGCTGGAGGACCGGCTCTCCAAGGGAGAGAAGGAGCTTGCCAAGAAGCAGGAGGAGTGCGTCAAGCTGCAGAGGGACTTGAGGGAAAACGTCGCGCAGAAGGAAGATCAGGTCAGTGCCAACATGTTGTTTTAACAACTATTTTATTTATAACAGTCTATATTGTCAAAATAATTACTAGTAAGACTGTATTATGAGTAAAAGACTTGTTTTTTGACTCTTTGTTACTTTGACTTTAATATCACAGTTTACAGTCGGGCAGCTTACTGCACCAGAGTTATATTGTCAATGGTCGACACTCTCTTGACCCTCTTATTTATAGTAGACGATGACAATGACATTGACAGCGCTAGTGTTACAATAATTAGTCTGACTAATTAGAGATGACACAACAAGACTATTGTTTATCGATACCTATGAACATATCCAGTAGGTATTATGATATTTTCTAGTTTTTCTAGTCTTGATCTCATAAGAACGAAGATGAGAACATTTTCATCATGAAATAGTGAGAGAAACTTGATTAGATTTTATTTGGATGAAATCTAAGCCTTAGCAAAGATCATGCTCATGGTTTGTGTATGTATCTATTGCAATTATTATAAGAATGTTCTAAAACAGGAGGAACGCATCACGACGTTGGAGAAACGGTACCTGAACGCGCAGCGTGAGTCCACGTCTCTTCACGACCTCAACGAGAAGCTAGAGCAGGAGCTCAACCATAAGCAGGCGCAGCTCAAGGTGAGACCACACACACAGCCCCCACCGGTCTTAAGAACCGTGGAAGTCATGCCAAGGAGGTAGCTTTACTAGAGCAATGAAGACGGTGGTTCTCAATAATAGAGAGTCACGAGGAATCATATTAACTTTAGACATTATTGTCGGCTAGAAGGCGTCTACTGCTGGACAAAACCTAAAAAATAGGTAGGAGTAACTGATATAAAAGAAAGAGCAATAACATAGGTCTTAATCGGTTATAAGATGCGTATTACATTGTCATGTGTGTGAATCGTTAGATAATTTGTTGAAAACATCTAGTTACATGTGTTTGTATATAGCCCTCTTCAATCAAATACCTAAACCGTTACTAAGTGTATTCTAGATTCTCAAATAATTATAAAAATCTCTAAAACACCCGGTCTATGTAGCCAAAAACCCTTGTAACTAACAAACTAACCGCCCAACTAGCCGCTTCTAGTTCACAAGCACAGTTCATAGACCATGCCACTGTCATGCGTTGCAGCTGCAAGAGGAGAAGATTGCAGCTATCGAGGAGAAGCTCGAGTTGTCCACGCAGAAGCTGGCACAAATGTCTTCCTTGCCCGAGATGGAGGAGCAGCTCAAAGCCAGGATGGAAGCGCTCAATCAGGTGGGTAATGATAGGAATACTGTCAGGATTGAAAGGAAAATTATAGTTGATGTTATTCTATAAGTTTTGGTCTAATTAAAAATACAGTTTTGAAATTAATTATACTTAAAAACTTGCTTTGAATCTAGTTTTTGTGTCTGTTGAATAATAAAGTTCGTGTTTAATAATAAATGTTAAGATTTTTTCTAATTGCTTTAGTTAACTTACTGAGAAATACTGACATTACTGTTGTAATGAATAAATGAAAGTTGTCTCTGCTCTACTGACTAATAACAAGTCCACGCTTTCCGCTTCTCATAATCCATTCCCATTTAGTTTGGAATGACTCCGTAATGATTTGTTTCTTATCATTTATTTGCTGTAGTTTTCTGTGTGTTTTGACTAACTACATAACCGTATTACACTGAATTTCGGTTCTATGTACAATATCCCATTCCTTTAAAATAAAGTTTTGTTCGTCATATGTAGGTGTAGGGTTCAATCAATTTCGCGTATTAACTGGAGGCAAATTAGCTTCTAGTTTTTTCAATAGTACCACTGAGTGGAATTTTTTGCTTGAATCTGTGTTCTCCAAAGGGGTGTGAAAGGATAAGTTGTCTCCAAGGTCCAAGAGAACAGGTTACTTAGTAGCTGTGGTCCATTGTAGGTTGCAATCGCTTACCACCAAGCGGGATAGTGACCAAACATGCCTGGCTATGCCATGGCAATGCAAAAAAAACCATAGCAGAAGTGTAAACCTTCAACAATTTTCTGTAGGGTACAAAGTTCCTTAAAAGCACAGGTCCTAGTATAGTATAAAGTACAAATAAGTGAGGGTGCTATGTACGGCAGGCGCAGGAGCGGCACGGGTCTGCCGAGGACCGCATCCAGCGGCTGGAGGCCAGCGTCGAGGAGAAGAACGCCGAGCTCATGCGCCTCAACCAACGCCTGCGCATGAACGAGGAACATAACACCAGACTCTCCGCTACCGTTGATAAACTGCTCTCCGAGTCTAATGATAGGTATGCCTATAATTATTAATTTTTCTTAAAATATATGACTCCTGTCCATTGGCAATGGGACAGAAATACGTATTTAATATCATTTATACTATATACATACATACCTTTTCACATACATTTTTGCCCATTTTTATTATGAGTTCTAGGGTATCTGTTTTGATATGAAAAGATCAATCTTAAAATAAATGTATATTCAGAAATCTAGTTTTATCTACACTACACAATTTTAACTAAACATTGTATTGTAGGTATATGCAATTGGTTTTAAGCATCTTTAAGCATTCAGGTTATCTGTAAGTATAACTTATAATAACCATCTCCCATTCTCTCCAGGCTACAAGTGCATCTAAAAGAGCGTATGCACGCGTTAGACGAGAAGAACGCGCTGACGCAAGAGCTGGAGAAGACGCGCAAATACGCTGACGAACTGCTCGCGGAGAAACAGGAGATACTCAAGGAGCTGGCCAAGTGGCGCATGGAGACTGAACAGGTATACCTGGAGAATTACATCAACTGTAATATTTTGTCTAGGGTATACTTTATTGTTAAGTAATAAGGTTGAAACTCTATCTATTGAAATAAAAATGAATCGCAAAACGTGTTGGTAAACGCATAACTCAACAACGCCTGGATCAATGTTGATGAATTCGTGCCGAAGTATGGCTTCTCAATTATTTTTTCCTTTTTAATTGACATTATTAACTAAGCGATATCTAATTTATTAGCAAATATCAACTTGTAACATGATGTTACGGGAGTTTATAAAACAAGTCCACTCTGTCTGCTTGATGGATACCTATTGAATAACAATCTGTAACACAAAATTCCTCTCGGTTCAAGCTGAAGCGTCAAATGCTGGAGCAGGAGATAGCATTCAACATTCAACAGACGGACGCGCTCACTCGCTCGCTGTCCCCGGCCGCCCAGGCGCAGCCTCCGCCCGGACTGTTCCAACCCAAGGTATGTATCTACACCACTACACCATGGGGTTGTAGGTTTACATACCAGTGTTGGATTAACAATAAACGGTGTAAGAAGGTCCCAAAATCATTTCAATTAAACCATATCTGAATAGGTACTTCTGACACGTCTAAATATAATAGTAATAATATAGTAGTAATAAAGTTAAAATATCAAAATATAGTAGTAATAGAGAAGGTAGAGGAACCACATAAACATTGTTTATTGTTGTTTAATCCAACACTGGTTAGACGTTACCTTTAACATAACTAGAGAGAGTGAAATTGACGCTAAAGCTAAATGATGTCACTGATTTGAAGTTTAACTATTAATTATTATTGGCTGAGAATTTGATTGGTTTATGCACGTGTGGTTTGCTCACTCACTTACGTAGATGCTAGTCTGTAAACAGCCGCAATGAAAAAGTAAGTCAAGTTTATCGCAAATTTCTCAGTCTCATAATATCTTGTGTATCGAGTGAGACTAGATATTTTAAGTTATTAACCAAGATACTTGGTTTTCTGTATTCCTATAAAAAGACTAAAAGTAGGAATTCGGCTTTATTTATGACTAGCTACTGCCGCGCGGTTTCATTCGCTGCTGGGTTCCTATTAATCGTAGGGCCGTGTTTTATAGCCTGTAGCATTCAGGAACATTATAGCTACCTTACCTATTAGAGAGTATTGGAAATCCGACGAGCGGTTCCAAAGATTATGCCCTAAAGATTGAGTTACAAATTACAAATGTTACCTCTTTGTAATATTAGTGTTATAGTTAATCAACTTTTTAATAAATGAAGATTACTCTAACCTTATCGTCGCGTGTATAAGGCCTGTATTAGCATCATCCGTATCCAAGGATATCTTAAAGAGTTACCCCCATATTACAAAACAAGGTTTATCTTTAGTCCAGGTTTAAACCATTGAGTCGGGTTTTGAATTTTGAATCTTATTGTCATCAACCTTCAATTCGAAATACGAAAACTGGCTCAATGGTTTAGTCCTAGACTAAAGTCAAATCTTGTTTTGTAATAAGGCCGTTAAGGTTTAGTGGAAAAGTAACAGAGAGAGAGCGAGAGAGAGAGCGAGTTGTAGTAGTGTAGGTGTCTGTGTGTAAAGCGGTGTGTGTGTAGATGGAGGGGTCGTGGGAGAAGCTGCAGCAGGCGCACGTGCTGGCCGCCGTGCAGCCGCCCTTCGACGTCGCCAGCGACGCTGAGGTCAGTCTCTACTTACGCAGGGCCGCTCTGTATATTGCTTTGTTTTTTTATTTAAAGCTAGCTACTCGTCTTTCTCACGTGTGTCTCTAACGGACGGTTTTCCTTTCTAGTTTTTTTTTATTTTCTTTCATTAGAAAAGCGATTAATTTTTATCAATGAATTTACTTTTTCGTTTTATTTAGTTTCCTTTGATAAAAAACAAAAAAAAAATGTAATTTCCATTTTGTTTATAAAAAGCATGTTGAAGTTTTAGCTCAGATGTATTTTTCTTTTTTGAAATTGTCAACAGAAATACATTTTTCAACGTAACATACTAACTTGTTTACGCGGGTATTAACGCGAAAAGCAATTATCTTAATACCTTAGAAGGATTCACGTTTCGATTTGGTTGCACAAGTCGTGGCCGCAGATTGCTTTTTGCGTTAATGCTCGCGTAATTATTTGTTGCATACAAAGAAACACGTTCATTGCCGTTTTTTCATGCAATATAAAACTCTGTCTACAAAGTCAAAATCATTTATTTCAATTAGACCCATACAGGCACTTTTGAACGTCAAACAAAATTTTAAAGATGTACAGTGTCAGTCTGTCGTTCAGTCCTCTTATTGAAGCTACATTTGCAAATGTCTTAAAATCTATGTATTACATCCAGAACGATGAATCCGACGGTGGCGTAGAAGGTGGTCATACAGACGCGGCAGCGCTGGCGTTAATGCTGCAGGAACAGCTGGACGCCATCAACACGGAGATACGTCTCATCCAGGAGGAGAAACAGACCACTGAAGCTCGCGCCGAAGAACTCGAGTCCAGGGTCAGTACAATTTGTTTACAATCCTCGTACATACCTAGGTTGTTAATGATCAGTATTTTGTTTCTGGGAGTTTGTTCTGGAACAAAATACCGGTTAGATAGCAGATTGAAAATAAATCGTTTATAGAATATGAAATATATATGTAGCTAGGTCAACTACATGAATGTCTAGTACAGACTTAAAATCTATAGTATTAAATTATAAATCATACGCAGTGAGTTACACCTATGGCCGTTCTAAACGAATTAACTACTCTTATAAGTGGTCATTGCAAAATAATTATGGATGTATACAAGATATATGTGTCAGTAAATTAAAACACAAGGATCGAGACAATATTAATCAATATTAAATTGTGAAACCTCACAAATGTTACCTAAAGACTATGTAAAACATAGTACACAGGTAAGTTTAGTTGGAATCTGGTGAAGGGTAGATATTCTCGTCTTATGTACCATAGCTTTGCAGATAAACTGCACAACAATTAGTTTCTTAACAAAATTTTCAAGTTACTGCATATAAGTCGGTGTACAAGACAATTTCTAATTTCTAGGTACTTAACTCCTAATTGGGTACTTGCCAACAAGTCAAATTGAATACTTTTTTTGATTTGTCAATATCGAAAATTTTCTATGTACTTTATCCTACGGGATTGTGTAGTGACTTCATTTCTTTATGCGTCAAATAGCATTTGGTATTTCTTGAAAATTAGTTAGATTTAAAGGAATCTTAATTGCATCCTAAAATCAATGACAAAATTAAGATTATGTTTTATTGAATTAAAAAAGTCGAGATAATGAATTATTGGCTCAGTCAAGTACCCAATTAATTTATGGTGTATGGATATATAAATAATATTATTATTTTTCAGCTTTGTATATTTTTGGTGATGGTTCATTCTCTCCATTTTGACCATTTTGATCTGTGGTGGATTATAATGGCGGCGCGTTTATGTTAAATAATATCGTTTTTAATGCTTCATAATATAAAATTATCATGTTTATATTACGGAACCAAAATGAATTCAATTTGTGCTAGATTTTAAAAATTATCAAGTTTAATTGTAGATACTTACATACAATATTTTTTTTTGTTGGCTTGTAAACGATCAAGAAGTTTTCCCTTCTGTGTCAGTAAATAGCGCCGCCATTAATGTAAACATTTCATAAAAATATCCCTAACAATATTATTCCATTGCCTTGAATCACTTCACTGGCCGCCGACCACATATTTGTACTATGAGACTCTACAAAGTATAAATAAAAGTCTTTAACTACCGACAAAAATGTCGATGGCTATCTCGCTTAACGGCCTGGCAGCATTGTCCGTCATGGCGTAGAATAAGCGAAGCGATGTAGCGTGTAGTAGTGTAGTACACGTAGGTGTGCGGTGGGCTCGGTGTCGATGTGTGCGGTGTGCCCAGGATGTATATAAGCGGGTGTGGTGTGGGCAGGTGGGCAGCTACGAGCACATGAACGTGGTGGCGCGCCGCGCCGACTCCCCGCCGCGCGCGCCCTCCCCCTCACGGCATGCGCTCGCGCAGCACCACAAGTACCACACCGTACGTATGCCCCCACTCACGCACTCACTCACTCAATCACTCACACACTCCTTACTCAGTCACTCACTCATCCACTCACTTATACATACACACGCTCACTCACTCAATCACTCACACACTCCTTACTCACTCATACATACACTCACTCACTCACTCACTCATCCACTCACTTATACATACACACGCTCACTCACTCAAACACTCCTTACTTACTCACTCATACACACACTCACTCACTCACTTATTTATACATACACACGCTCACTTACTCAATCACTCACACACTCCTTACTCACTCATACACACACTCACTCACTCACTCATTTATACATACACACGCTCACTTACTCAATCACTCACACACTCCTTACTTACTCACTCATACACAGTGTGTATGAGTGAGTAGTGAGTGAGTGTGTGTATTACACACACTCACTCACTCATCACTTACCCACTCACTTATACATAAACACGCTCACTCACTCATTCACTCACACTCACTCTCACAAACACTCACTCACATACACATTCACTTACACTTACTCATAAGCAAACTCACACACACTGATAACCAATCACTCACACTTATCAAAATACTCGAGAGTCGAAGTCGAAAATACTGAGTAGTGAGTGAGTGTGTGTATTACACACACTCACTCACTCATCACTTACCCACTCACTTATACATAAACACGCTCACTCACTCATTCACTCACACTCACTCTCACAAACACTCACTCACATACACATTCACTTACACTTACTCATAAGCAAACTCACACACACTGATAACCAATCACTCACACTTATCAAAATACTCTAACACGCAATACTCATTCAATGACTTCAACAAATACTAACTAATTTTTACCCAATAAAATAGTAATTGTTAAGCCTTGAATCTATTATCTGTCGTATAATTACTAACATCTCATAATCAGGTGGAAACAAGCCTGACTTGGTTTGGGAGTCATTCCATCATTAATAGTGGTATAGATTATGCCTTCGTTGGTTAATAAAACTTGGTACAATACTAATATTTTGTAATAATAAGCCATTATATTTAACTAACACTCACTCTTACGTGTACTTTATCGTTCTGACCGTATTTGACCTTGAAAAGTGTGAACATTTAAACATTTAATTATAATCAACCTTAAGCAAAAGGAATACGGTCGGACGAGTGAGGTATTATAACATAATGGTGAGGTAAGGTAGTGTAGTAGTTCGGGTGTGGTTTACCAGGCGCCTGCATCGATGTCTCCCGCAGCCCATTACCGCTCAGCGCCGGCCTCCGAGAGTCTACCATCAAGCCAGGTCCGTCAAAAGCTATACACGACTATAACCAGCGCATATAACATACCTCTTTTTGGCATATTGTGCTGCTACACTGGTGTAAGAGTAGAATGGTTGATTTTGAAACATTCCGGGCACACTCGACTTGTTTCGAGCTACGACAAGGCCCTTAAATATAAATTTGCAAATGTGACATCATCGTATACGCATTGCTAGAGGACGCATTCAAATAAGTATGCGTAATAGTGTCATATAAACTTTAGACATTTCAATGTTTTGAGTTAATTTAAAATCTTGACAATGTTTTTGTCAAGTTAAAATAGAAATGAATGCAGTAGCAATATCAGTTTAGCAGTACACTGGTATACAAGAGACGTATGCACGCAATCACGGGAATGGCTTAAAGCTGTGTGAAACTTTGCAGCTACAGGCTTAGGTATATATTATGTGCGGGGAAGCAGCTTGTTATAACTACTTAAAGTACTATATCAGGTTGTGGAGGACAGGCACTCCTTGTAAAACGTTGACATTCAGATAGTTTTTTTATGAGCATTATGGTGAATGTTTCGTATAGAAATGCTGGTAATGTAATAATGCTGCTGATCTCACCATGTGTTTATCTGTGTGATCGCTTATCCTTAGCTCATCGAAAACTCAAGTAATGTTCTCAAGTTGTTTGAGAAAATAATCTTCTTTTATAAAATAAACAGCACTATACCTGAACAAATGAATTTCATTTTGCAAGTATGCCATAAAACAGCACTGTTACACGTCAAAATAATATATGAAAAACTAGGTGAAGCCCAAAACCAGATGAGCAACCTGTGGATCACTCAAAAACTTGTTAGGGTACGGCATTCGAACATGCGACACGTTGCGCAGCTGGTTCCCCAACTACCAACTGAATAAGCTAAAAAAGTTATTCATTTACGAGCTGCTTCACCCAATTACGAAAATTATGCAAATTACGTAGCTATTGTTTAGTTGAAATATTTAAGTATGTAACATGTTATATTATATGAACAGTATAACACCCTAGCAATTAGCATGACACGCCCTGTATCCATTTATTGCAGTTGTTGGTATTATATGCCTTATTGTAATGTATATTAGAGGTTGGTTTTAAAAACCTTTACATAGTTGCATCTTGAGCTATACATAAAATTAACTCATAGTTAAAGTCAAGTCAACATTAATACATTTATTCCAACTAAACCATACGTTTAAAACGGTCTAAATAGAATAATAATCAATCAGTCCGGTCGTCAAAACTCGGCATTTATCATATGTCCTCGTTATCGGAAGAAATGGTCATGTCCAATGAGCCAAGTCTATGATGACACAACAATGAATAATATACGTAAAAACTTTGTAATTATTTTTAGTGAATTAATAAGAAATGGTATTAATCCAGTCTTCTAAACTGAATAATCACAAAGTCTTTTTGGTAAATTAAAACCAACTTCATAAAAAGAACGGCATGCCAGCTATACTCCAAATACATAATAACCTATGTACTTAGTATCCTATAAACATATAAGTAAATAATAAACTGAATGACGTCACAGTAAGTGCACAGCACTGCTTACCACAATGTAGTTCTTAGGCGACGCTTCTATGTGCAACGATTGTGATAACGTATATTTAATTAAGTATTTATTATTTTTAATAAAAGCTGTCACAAATAATTAGATACATTAAATTTATATAAATAAATGTGTTTATATTATGAATACGTAGATAATAGAAAATAGAAATTTTTTTGTGTGATTCTTTAAGGTATTTTGAATTAGTAGTAATGTTTTTTTATTAATCTTTTATAAAAGACTCCTAGAGTCTTATAACTGAATTGTATCGATGTTAAGAAATTGTAGCAAATCCGATATATAAATCGTATTTATATTACTTTGTAGCACATTTTAATTTGATTTAAACAGTCGAAATAAGTATCCAATGTGTAGTTTGTAATATTATAGTTATTTTAGCCTAGATCAGGGTACTTTGTAATTTATAGAGATATTTGTAGCATTCAATATAATGTTTGTATTCTTTTGTTGTATCGTTGACAACTTACAGACAGATAAATCACTAAGTACGAATACCCGGGTTTAGTTACACCCGTATTAATATTGTTTTGTAATATTTATAGGTATCTTTATTTTTTGACTCATACGTATTTTAGATCACTTTCAAATCTTGCAAGTGATACTAACTTTTAATAAACAACATATTTATACTAACGTAAATAAATCAAAACAAGCTATCTCCCACACAGTTGCAGCTATGCGAGGAAGGTGCAGGTGGCGTGGGTCCTGTAGGCTCTGTAGGCCCGGGTCCCCACGGCGAGGGGGCGGAGTCCCCGCTGACGGCGCGCTCTCTGCGTCTCGAGCGGGCGGCGCGCGCCATACATGCTGAGCGAGACCGACTGCGGACTCACTATCAACCACCTTATGATGCGTGAGTATCAATTAACTGTTGTCTTCTGGTATATGTTTAGTAAAAGTTAACTTTCATATACAATTTGTTCTTTGTGAAACGCCTATCTCTTGCTCAAGTGTAAAAAGGTTATCTTTGCGCAATATACAATGATATTTGCGCAATTTGCGCAAGTTGCGCAAGTGATTGTTGGCGTAGAAAGCTTAAAGGACGTTTTCTGTTTTACAATTATATACATTTTTGAGGTGGCCTCATCATGTATAATTTGCAGTGATTGGTTTTGGTGAAAGTTTAATAATAACTATTAAAAGCATGTTTTAAAACACATTACTGTAATTAACAAATTAACTTAACTTTGTTACTACTAACAAAATACTAACACCTAACAATTTTTTCCTTTCCACGCAACCAGGACGTCGATAATGTCTGGCAGCCTCGCCAGGATCCCAATGCACAGGTCTCAGCCTTTGTCTCTCGCGGGAACCAAACCCGTGTACCACTCACAAGTGAACCTGGCTCACCTGTGGTGTGATTGTCCAGACACATTGTTCAACTATGTACCGCACAGACTCTGCCTGAAATCCAATATGTATAGGATTGTGGATAGTTATTTATTCCACCATCCCTGCCTGGTCAAATCTGCCAGCTATATCTGAAGTTATGAATCTGTTCAATGTCTAATAACGCACCTCGATTATGTGCCTTATTGTTGTTAATGCACAATACAAAATTGAACGTAGTTAAATGATGTCATTCAGATCTGGAATTAGATCAAGTTCTAGAAATTTCCGTATATGGAAAAACAATGTGTCGAGACCTTAAGATTAATTTGTGTCAACTTGTCTTCATAAACTTGCATGCATTTTCTTTATTAAAACCTTTTGTAAAATGAATGTGGTTTTTGACAAAATGGAATTACTAATTGTGTTCACCCATCATCGTTGAATTTGGAATGTAAAGTAACAACGGTATGTTTTTATTATTTTTTTAAATGTGTGTGATCCCTGATTCCATTGTAGAGTTTCTATATCGGCTAAAACACTTAGTAATTCCATTTTAGCTAGACGTTGTATGTTATTTTGGCGCAGTACAGCTTTGTCAATACTATGGCTAGAGGGTACTCAACGAAATCAATTCTAATTTTAAACACAATTCAGTTGTAATTTGTGTCCAAGAAGCTGCTAATTGCACTTATGTATGCACTGTAACTGCTTAAAATTGTGAGTTTAAGAAAAGCTAAGAAAGATATGTTCTTTTTCTCTAGCCTTTGACAGCCAAAATAAAACTGTTGAAGTGAAATATTCCGCTAACGTTAGTCACCGCTGGCCTACTCGACAGCTAACGTGTTTGTTAAGCTAAACTTGCATGCTTATACTTACCAAACTCACAATGAAACCTACCTTAAGTAACTTAATTTACTTTAAAATAATTCACGTATAAATCTCCACACAGCAACATCTCATCGAGCTCTAGCCAAGAGTCCCTGGGCGGCATGGCGTCGTCCCTCGGCGGTGGCATGGCCAGCACTTGGGGAGGCCCGGTCGGCAGCTCGCGAGCCGGGGCCGCCTCGGCCGCCTCCATCGCCTCCATGCACCAACAGAAGAAGAGAGGCATCAAGAGCTCGCTCGGAAGGTTCTTCAGTAAAAAGGAAAAGGCTGGAATGCCGGTTAGTTCAGTGTTGCAGTTTTTATAATTATTATTAGCGCTTTCATTCGTCATAATTATTTTAAGACGAAATTTGTGGCACGAGATTCTATCTATAAAAGCACAATTAAATCTGCGGTGTGTTAAGAACAATATGGACTGTAAAGTCTACTTGTGCTGTTCCTTGAAATCTACCAAGACCAGATAAGATTTAAATGTATGATTGAACACATTGAGTTTGTAATTTGAATAGCCTTGATCGTCTCGTTAAATGTATTTACATTTTGTTTCATTATCACATCAAATTGCTCTCCAGCTCCAACAAGGACAGAGTCCCCGGTCGCTATCGTCAGTATCGTCCCTGGGTCTGTCCTCGCTAGCGGACGACCCGAGCAGCAGTGACGCCATGACACCGCACGCACCGATGTCGCACGCTCCCATGACGCATCAAGACTACGCCAGGACTAAGAGCAAGTCAGTCATTGTCTCAATTGTTAATTAATTTTAATTCCAGAGACTCCTTTGTTATTAAGGACTACGTCAGGACTAAGGGTCAGTCACTATGGTTTAATTTTAATTCAAGACACTATTTTTTTATTAAGTAAAACGTACAAAATAACGGTGACTTGATTATTTTAGAATGTCAATAGTTTTTCAGATATTTAGGTCGATGTAATTAAAACTCGGTAGTTTCCAACTAGTCAAATTCAATACCCTTATCCAAATGTCAAGAACGATAATTTTGTATAAAATTTTTATGATACTCCAAATTATGACGTCATAGTGTTTTGCGTCAAATAGCTTACTTATTTCTAATAAATCGAAAATGTTGTGTATCGAGATATCCATGAATTTCCTATTCTCATCTTTTTTCAATATTTCATTGCATTGAAATGTCAATAAAACATTTACCTGGAAGTGAAGTAAAAGCAGTTTTTTCCTACTTCAAGGAATTCTTTCTTTCTTCCAACTGTTTTACTGGTAGCGGTGATTTGTAAACGATGTTATGTATGTATGCAGAGACCGCGACTACCGGCACGAGTTGCTGGGCGAGGCGATGCGCGCGGGCACGCCGTTCGCGCTGTGGAACGGGCCCACCGTCGTCGCCTGGCTCGAGCTCTGGGTCGGCATGCCGGCCTGGTACGTCGCCGCCTGCAGGGCCAACGTCAAGTCCGGGGCCATCATGTCCGCGCTCTCCGACCAGGAGATACAGAGGGAGATTGGTATGTGGAACTTTACATAAAAACTGTACATTCTTTACGTGTAACAACTAATAAGTGTTTTGAACATGTTACTATTCCAGTATTTTGACGATGTCATTCAAATCTTATTTCATTCAATGTAATTAACAATAATATGACAGTATTAAAACATTTTATATGACTGAAGTATTTTCTGACCTTACCCTTATTGTCATTTTTTTTTTTGACTTATTCTGAAAAAAAAATACTAAACACGAGGATAAGTTGAGACATAACGATGTTACTTTGTTTCCTTCCTCTTTGCGTCGCATTCCTCATTGCTAAGGGTCATGACCACCCTTTGCATCACTTCCTCTCGCATGATCTTTTTCCATTCAATTCCATCGCTGGTGTAGAGCATTGTGGACTATTATGGAGTCTAGAGCCTTAAAACGTTCTTTACTTTGTCTAAATGTATCATAATAAATCAAGTCTATCCTTAGAATAAAATACGCCGCACACTTGAGTGGCTTTATCCTATCTTGACAACGGTTTCCATTGAGCTCGTAGTTAAATACAACGTACCGTACCAGGTATCAGCAACCCGCTGCACCGGCTGAAGCTGAGGCTGGCGATCCAGGAGATGGTGTCGCTGACGTCGCCGTCCGCGCCGCGCGGCACGGCTTGCGCCGCGCTCGCCTTCGGGGACATGAACCACGAGTGGATCGGGAACGTCTGGCTGCCTTCCTTAGGTAAATCATTACTTGCGTGTATAATTTTATTGGTTCGGTAAAAAAGGCTTAGTCTAAAATGTATCAGTTGAAGTTGACGTCTTTTGTTGTTAAATGAAAACGAAGACTCTTTTATGCTGATTCTATGAGAATAATGGCAGTAACAGCCTACTTTAATTCTTCACAAAGTTTCCATATAAGAATACAGTTTTTCTTATTCGTATGACATTATTTTTTGAACAAATTGATTGTTGTCTATTTCAGGTTTACCACAATACAGAACTACGTTTATGGAGTGTTTGGTTGACGCGAGGATGTTGGAGCACCTCACCAAGAGGGACCTTAGGACGCAACTTAAAATGGTTGACAGTTTTCATAGGTAAGAATTCATTAATTCTACGCTTTTTTAATTTCTGTCGAGAAACCTGCTAAATTAAGTATTGCTGTAAGACTTACTTGTAAGTAAACTATTTCGGAGATGCTCGTCTAGTTTCGAGCTACACTGGGGCCCTTAATTGTGAGCTAAGTGCAATAATTGGTATATTTCTGTCTAGGACATCTCTCCACTTCGGCGTAGCGTGTCTGAAGCGCGTGGGCTACAGCGTCCGCGCGCTGGAGGAGAGACGGCGCGCTGCAGAGCTGGGGACCAGGGACGTACTCGTGTGGACCAACGAGAGGCTGCAGCGCTGGCTCGTCTCCATCAACCTCAAGGTATGTACCACTATAGCGGCACACTGACCCCCGGGGCTCCCAGCTGGCTTCCGCGGCCTTCTCGAGTAAACCGCCCTCAGGTGAGCATAGTCTGCGTATGAGTGAGGTAAACGAAGGCCCCATCCCTAAATCTCCAAAATCCTAATCCCCAAAAAGACGGCAACGCACGTCTCTGTTGTTCCGGGCGTCCACGGGCGGCGTGTATTGCTTACCATCAAGTAAACTTCGTTTTGTCTCATATAAAAAAATGCCTTTCATAGGACTATTACCCCTAGCAGTAAAACGTTGTGTGTAATGTATGTGTGTTGTTGTTGTTCCAGGAGTACGCGAACAACCTGTCGGAGAGCGGCGTGCACGGCGCACTCATCGCGCTCGACGACAACTTCGACGCCAACAGCATGGCGCTCGCGCTGCAGATACCCACGCAGAACACGCAGGTCTGTAGTTATTTATTTGCTGTTCTTAACAACTATTTGCCATTTTTTTTTGGGATCTTTAAAATAATGATCAATATGTAAGACTTGATTCTTTGTTGAATCTTAATTTGTATCGTAACTGGATTAAAAACAACTTTACTTTTCGATAATCACGAGATTTACTTGTTTTTGCTTACAATGAAAATATTTAGCACTAGTGGTTCAGTGACTGGCAACGCCTTATGAGAATGTAATAATATAATTGTGCATTGCATAGTGTAATAATGGTAATAACATTATGGTGTCTTTCCCCCGCAGGCGCGCCAGATCCTGGAGCTGGAGTTCAGCAACCTGCTGGCCAGCGGCACCGAGCGCGCCGCCACACACCACGACACCGCGCCCTCCTGACACCACGCGCTCAACTAGGTACACCATACTACACCGCGCCCTCCTGACACCACGCGCTCAACTAGGTACACCATACTACACCGCGCCCTCCTGACACCACGCGCTCAACTAGGTACACCATACTACACCGCGCCCTCCTGACACCACGCGCTCAACTAGGTACACCATACTACACCGCGCCCTCCTGACACCACGCGCTCAACTAGGTACACCATACTACACCGCGCCCTCCTGACACCACGCGCTCAACTAGGTACACCATACTACACCGCGCCCTCCTGACACCACGCGCTCAACTAGGTACACCATACTACACCGCGCCCTCCTGACACCACGCGCTCAACTAGGTACACCATACTACACCGCGCCGTCCTGACACCACGCGCTCAACTAGGTACACCATACTACACCGCGCCCTCCTGACACCACGCGCTCAACTAGGTACACCATACTACACCGCGCCCTCCTGACACCACGCGCTCAACTAGGTACACCATACTACACCGCGCCCTCCTGACACCACGCGCTCAACTAGGTACACCATACTACACCGCGCCCTCCTGACACCACGCGCTCAACTAGGTACACCATACTACACCGCGCCGTCCTGACACCACGCGCTCAACTAGGTACACCATACTACACCGCGCCCTCCTGACACCACGCGCTCAACTAGGTACACCATACTACACCGCGCCCTCCTGACACCACGCGCTCAACTAGGTACACCATACTACACCGCGCCCTCCTGACACCACGCGCTCAACTAGGTACACCATACTACACCGCGCCCTCCTGACACCACGCGCTCAACTAGGTACACCATACTACACCGCGCCCTCCTGACACCACGCGCTCAACTAGGTACACCATACTACACCGCGCCCTCCTGACACCACGCGCTCAACTAGGTACACCATACTACACCGCGCCGTCCTGACACCACGCGCTCAACTAGGTACACCATACTACACCGCGCCCTCCTGACACCACGCGCTCAACTAGGTACACCATACTACACCGCGCCCTCCTGACACCACGCGCTCAACTAGGTACACCATACTACACCGCGCCCTCCTGACACCACGCGCTCAACTAGGTACACCATACTACACCGCGCCCTCCTGACACCACGCGCTCAACTAGGTACACCATACTACACCGCGCCGTCCTGACACCACGCGCTCAACTAGGTACACCATACTACACCGCGCCCTCCTGACACCACGCGCTCAACTAGGTACACCATACTACACCGCGCCCTCCTGACACCACGCGCTCAACTAGGTACACCATACTACACCGCGCCCTCCTGACACCACGCGCTCAACTAGGTACACCATACTACACCGCGCCCTCCTGACACCACGCGCTCAACTAGGTACACCATACTACACCGCGCCCTCCTGACACCACGCGCTCAACTAGGTACACCATACTACACCGCGCCGTCCTGACACCACGCGCTCAACTAGGTACACCATACTACACCGCGCCGTCCTGACACCACGCGCTCAACTAGGTACACCATACTACACCGCGCCCTCCTGACACCACGCGCTCAACTAGGTACACCATACTACACCGCGCCCTCCTGACACCACGCGCTCAACTAGGTACACCATACTACACCGCGCCCTCCTGACACCACGCGCTCAACTAGGTACACCATACTACACCGCGCCCTCCTGACACCACGCGCTCAACTAGGTACACCATACTACACCGCGCCCTCCTGACACCACGCGCTCAACTAGGTACACCATACTACACCGCGCCCTCCTGACACCACGCGCTCAACTAGGTACACCATACTACACCGCGCCCTCCTGACACCACGCGCTCAACTAGGTACACCATACTACACCGCGCCGTCCTGACACCACGCGCTCAACTAGGTACACCATACTACACCGCGCCCTCCTGACACCACGCGCTCAACTAGGTACACCATACTACACCGCGCCCTCCTGACACCACGCGCTCAACTAGGTACACCATACTACACCGCGCCCTCCTGACACCACGCGCTCAACTAGGTACACCATACTACTACTACTATACGTCTGAACTAAATATTTAATTGTATGTTTGTTGTTCCAGGCCACGTGGTTCCCTCGGTAGTGGGCCGGTAGAGTGGCGCGGCCCGCTGTAGTCATACGATAACTTTACACTATTTATTTGGTACAAACGTCAGTCGGCGGAGCATGCGCGGCGTATGGCGGCATTTTATAGTAACCACTACGCTTCACTGTGTAACCAGTTTACTGTGTAAATAGTTCAGTACTCGGCTCGCTTCTCATCTATCTACCAAAGTACTATAAAATGCTATCATAGTGTAACGACTTGTTCATACAATATAATTCTCCCTAACGTGTATATTTTAGGTAAGTAAGGCTTCACTATAACTACAAAGTGCTCTGAATCTGTAGACTTATGTACTTAACTTGTAATCTGATATTTATTGGACTCGGATACAAAATGTATGTTAGCTGCGGCGCGCTGTACCGTGTTTCGTCGCGTCCTAAACTAAGTATTATCGCCTTAAAGTATTCCCTTAGATGTACAGTATACTTGTTATGAAGCAATATTGGCTGTTCTTTGAGCTGTGCTCTCAATCCCTTTACAACTTGATAGCCTTATATCTCAATAGTTTGTAGTGTCGGGCTCTCCGACTATAGCCAGTCCAGGAGCCCGAGTGTTTGCCATTTTATACTACCGTTGAGGAAACACGGCACACGCGAGTAAACATTGTCATACTCTGATGCCAAATATTAGTTTATCGTAACTAATATATACATTAAAATTTGTATTCCGTCGACGTTACAGTCTGCAATATATTACGTTCTACTTACACATATTTTAATATGGTTTTAATTGAATTGACTTAAAACTTATACTTATATGTTTATTCTTAAAAGTACAATTTCAAAATGTTTTGAATGATTTTATTTTTTATTTTTGTAGACTATTTTTATTCATTGTTGAGTCGTATGTGAAGTAAGGTTGGAGAATATAGTTGCAGACTGTTTGGTCGGCTCTACTCGTAAAGTTACTGTGTTGTGAGAGATTACATTGTAGCCGGCAGGGGGCGACACTGTCGCGCCTGTCCTGTGTGATACTGAACTGACACTGCGCGGTATACTCGGCAGCTTCACTCTTTTATTAACTGTATGTGTTTTAATAATATTTTACAATTAATTTTATTATGTTGAGAGTATTTTTAAGGTCAGTTTTATCATCTCCAATTAGTCATGTTATTATTTATATACAGTTGCGTAGTATACAGTGCAGGACGCGTTGTGTGTGTGTGTGTGTGCGTGTACCAAGTGCCTCGGCGAGGTGTGTATATACATAGCTTTATGTAGTAGTGGTACTGGTACTGGTTCGATACTAGTCTATGTACAGTGTTGTTACATTGTTTTGTAATCTTGTATTCTATTAACTCGCTACTAGAACAGCTCCCACTTAGCTAGGTATATTTTGTTAAGCGTTTTACAAGAAACACTTCAATAGGTAATCAAATAAACTATCGATTGTATAGCTAAAGCGACTTTGATTTGAAAGTGAATGTTTTAACGAGTAGCAAATATATTGTAAATATTATCATTTCTATCGACTGTAGGTGTAATAGCAATATTTAGCTAAGATGTGTTCAAAACTGAAAGGATTTTTATTGTATTATTACTTTGTAATGATAACCGCTTATTTATTAACTAGATTTTATTATTTATTAAGTTATTATAGGAAATGTATGAAATATACCGGTTTATTATAATTACCTCAGTAATGTCGTCGTGGGTGCGCCGGCGCAGGCCTCAGCTATCTCTAGTTATCGAGTTACAGTATTAATAAAATTAGGTGACAGACGGCCGCGGCGCCACCCCTGTGTGATTTTTATAAAATTAATTAATTTTTAATCGTAGTAACATTTGGATATTCTCGGAGTAAGTCTGCGTCCGCGATGCATATTGTGAGCCGACATTTGCATATACCTACATATTAATATCTCGCGCCTATCTTACCCGCATATTGCTCATATATTCCTTACTCGAGTTAGGTCACAATATGCGACGCGGCGCATTTTCGAAATTTTTCATAAATAAATTGGAAAGTGAGGTATCTGTCTACTTTGTATCGCGGCTTGTGAGCGTGACGGCGCGGGCGCGGGCCGTGGCCCGGGGGACTTGCATACTCGCCAGAATATATCACTAATTATACAACTTGTCATATGGTGTAGGTAAATGTTATCGTTGTGAGACAGCTCGTTGTTTTCTATATAGGTAGGTAAATATCGGAAGCACTAGAAATGTCGTTTTGACGTTCAACGTGCAAATTGTTATGATTACTAAATTATACAGTTGTTGAGTCCCCGGTCGTTGAGTCACATTCTGCTCTCCTGGCAACACCGCACGTGCTAGTGCTGCCATCTGTCGGGGCGCGAGACACAGACCGACTGCCCGGCCTTTACGTGTCGGTCTGTCTATCAAACGTAGTCTAATTGAATGACTTTATTTAGATGAAATTAATGTATGGAAGACTATTAGTAACGCGAGGCGGCTCCGTGTCGTCGGCCGTGGTGACGTCTCGTCAATAAAGCGCGACTCAATATCATACGTACACATCATCGTTTCATTATCAATATATGAATAAATGATATATTATATATATTAGCTACATAAAGTTTGTATACAATGCAAGTGGAGATGGTTATTTAGTTAACTGTTAGTGTACTTATAGCTTTTCGACGTAGCTAATCAAGTTTTGTATAAAGTCGTTTGGATGACGTAGTATAGCCGAAGTGTCATGGCCGCCGTGCGGTCCCTTTGTACTCGTACACGTTTTATATGTTCCCTCTGATAGCCTGGTAGTAGACGTCATCGTCCGGTTCCGAATCCGCGCGACATGCCCGGCGTCGTGCAGGACGCGAGTACCCTCCCCAAGTGCCAAGTAACCGCCATTTTGGAACGGACGCGACCGAACAATAACTAGAATAATTTCTCACATTCCACCGACTCCGATGACGCAGTCTCGCCCGTCGGACCGTAACGAACAAAAATAATTTTCCAATCGAAGTCCCAGTGGCTCGCGCTACCAAAGAATAAAGTTACCTTCACGTTAAGGAGTATTGTAACATATGTTTATTAGAGAAACAATTGGATATGTATATAATTTGGCCTGTGTGTGCATAGCTTGTTATAGTGAGGGCGCGCGAGTGGGTGCGTCTCGTCACCGTTCGCGTTACATTCCAAGGCTTTCCGTGTTATAAATGATCGCTTTGGCCCTGACTAGGTAATCGGTATATCGTTACAGGTGAACCCTTCTAACGGCCATTGTTTTGATGTCATTACGAAATTGTTAACTAGACAATGTTTATTTTGACCAATGTAATCTGTACTAATGTGTAATCTGTACGTTTGTAAAAACGTTTGTCAAAAGTGCGATGACGGCATACGTTGTGCATAATGATAAGAGGTAAATACAATTTACACGATACAATTACTTGTTTCATTTATTAACCTGTATCCTTGAGTGGCCTGTGAGTAATGTGCAAGTGTAAAGACTGGCTCCAAGCATTGCTGTCAAGCTCGAGATCTCGGATACGCTACCTGGGTCTGCGGACCATTGAAATCCTCAGTAGAATACAATCGCTCTTTCAGGGAGGGCACGTCTGATAATCCTGGCAGCCAGATACAAGTCGTAATTTACTAATTACGTACAACTATGTACTGAATTACCGCTTTAAAAAATGATGTGCTAGTATGGTGCGACTGCCTATCCTACTTTATAGATTAAAGCAACCTGTCGTCTACCCTTCGTATAAATACAAAAATATAATGTACCAGGACGAGAAGAAATTTGAAGATTCCACTCAAAACAAAGCTTATGTGAGTGTAACATTCAGAATGCCAAATAAAACAACGCAATTCACATTTGAGTTTTGTTTTTATTACCAGTTTTACTTAAATGTCTACATATTTTCTTCTTCAATTCCTTCTGTCGCTTTAGTTTACGCCACTCCTCTTCTTCCAGTTGCTTCTTATGCTTCTCCAGGCGAAGCGCAGTCGCTGCTTTCTGCACTTCCTTCTTCTTTTCGTAATTAGTTTTTAACATCTTCATAACATTGGAGATCTTCTGTTCTTCAGGGTTTTTGATAACAGCTATCCTGTTCTTGAACTTATCCTTAGGGTTGGTGCCAGAGAGAGTAGTGGACTTATCTTTAGGTTTGAACCTGTATGGCAAACCTTTCTGCAGGTTTTTAGGTATCACCAACGGTTTGAACACTTTAGGCGCTCTGTTTATTTCAGTATACATTGAGTCGAGATTAGCGTCATTCTTGATATTCTTCTCTCTCTTCAGTTGTCCTTTAGTCTTCATTCCTTGCCAGGCGTTCTTAGCTCCCACAGGTAGCAGTAGGTTAACGACAGGCGCGTAGAACTTCGTCACATCCACTTTGTACCATGTACGACAGAACACAATGTCACTCATCAAGATTTTATCCTCAAAGGTCGCGCGGAAGGCGCCTTCTGGCTTGTTCAGCGCTTTCTTGATCTGCCCTCTGATACCCGACACTGTTTTAACTCTAGCACCTTCAAACTTCGCTACCTCCAAAGTAGTTGTGAACATGTCCTTGATGAAAGCTGTCTTCTTGTATATTTTTAATGGAGTACCAATTAATTTTAACTTCTTTACTATCTGGGTAGATTTGTTAATTTCGTTAACACTACCAGTAGCAGCTATCCGGAACCCAACTTGTTTGATTTCATTTGGATTGTTGTTTACACTTTGTAGTGCAAGGAAACCTGTATTCTGTGGTGTAATAGGACCATAGAAGTGCATGTTACATGTGACATGCTCGGGTGTGTACTTTAAATACCTGCATTTCATATCATCTTCTATCTTTGAGTATATAGGTAAGGTTTGGAAGCGTCGCCACCCCAGCGAAATAATGAGGGGATCATTAGTCTTTAGTATTTTCTTATACCATCTGTGTTTCTTCACTTTACAGGATACAAAGCCTATGTTCTGTTCAGCCATATTAAGTGCTCCAATCAGTATTGGATAACTCGAGTCAAAGTTTGTCACAAACTCTGATGGCATATTCTTAAATAACATTCTGACATAAAGGCCGGGTCTGAAGCCTTCTACTTCTACCCTCAATCCATTGTCTAAGTTGTCAAACACTGATTTATTCAACTCTGATTGTTTCAGAGCTTCTGCTTTTAAGTTCTCATAATAGGAGTGGTCACCTTTGATCCTGTGATCATCTGGATTGTCATACTCTGAATCAAACTTAGCTTTTAATTTTAACTTCTTGTCCAATATTTCAGATTTTGTTGGTTCAGCTTTCCTTTTAGTACCAGGTTCAGCACTAGTTTCTGTTTCATCATCAGCTTTGTGTTTTTCCCCAGTTTCTAAATCTTCAAAGTCACCATATAGTTCTTCATCTTCACCATCACTTGCATCATCCAATTTCAGTAGTTCTGATGCATCCTCATCTGCAGATCGTTTACCAGTTACAAAACTATTGATCAAATATTGTTTGTTTGTGTCACTAGTCCAATCCCTTAAATTTGGTTTATCTAAAGAATAGAAGAATGAACACTCTTCTAGGTCTAATCTTTCCTTTTCTTTGTGCTTCTTCTTTTGTGTGTCTGTTACCTTTTTAAACAGACCTCCTAGTTCCTCGCCTTCTCCTTCTGACTCAGATTCTTCATCCTTTGCTTTTTTAGCTTTATTTCCAATTTCGAAATCACCATAGACTAGCTTCATAATGTTCTTTGATGTCTTTTGTCTCTCTAGATAAGCTTCTGTTGCTTTCTCTCCTAACTTTTCCTTCCATTTCATACCAAAATCATTCTGAGGCTCATCATCTGAATCACTATCATCATCACTCATACCCTCTTTTTCTTTATCTTCCCCATCAACACTCATTTCTTCGTCGTCATCATGGCCATCACCTTCTTCATCAGAGTCTGCTTCTGAATTATTATCCCATGGAAGTTTGTTATCTTTCTGTTTCTTTTCATCTATTCCGCTATCATTGTCGCTATCATTACCCTCATCTTCTGAATCAGATGAATCAGACTCGTCTTTCTTCTGTTGCAAATATTCATCATCTTTGACCATATCAGGGTAGATAACTGCACCACCACTGAACAGTTGGAACCCTGACTCTTGCATTTGTTCATCTACAGTTTCCTTGGTTTCCACAACATTCTTGAGTAAAGCTTTCTTCTCATTTGTTTCTTCATCTTCCTTCTTGTGTGAATGAGAACCTTGTAACTCTATGTAAACAGCATCTTTATCATAGACAATACCTCCAACGCCAGAGAAAGGGGCGTAGATCTGTCGCTCTCGCTCCATGAGATGTCGCTTTTTCTCACTGCTGGGGAGAGGACATGGATCTGGTAGGTAGGACAGCTCACTGATTTTCATGTCACCAACACCTGAAATAATTGAATAAAAATATGAATTAAAAATTGACCCTCAATGAGAAACAATGTTTTTTACTTTAATCTGTGCTTCATTGTTCGACTGGTTGAGGCTCTGTATCCTCTACTATATCACTTTTGTGTTAACAACAATATGGATTTTGGTGAAATAAAATATGGCTATTTTTGACCTTTTAATAAAATGTTATACATGCTTTCAATATAAACGCTTTGTATTCTGAAATATCTCAATAACTGCCTATGTCAGATCAGTGTTGGATTATGGGGCTTTTACATCTTAAGCTGAGTCTATATTCTTAAAAGGGTCAGAATTATACTTTAAAAGGGTTGGATTAGTATGAGTAGTTTTGTCTGGTCTCACTCAAATGTGATGTAGTAATAATGATGAGATATATGGCAAATCACATTCTAGGATAAAAGAAATTAAATAATATACAACAAATAAAAAATTAAATAATTAAAACATATTACTATGTTTAAATTTACCTGCTATATGGACGGAAGATTCTTTCATGAGAGGTACTCCTCTCACATAGCCATACAGTACAACATCTCTGTTCACCTTGGCATCCTTCCTGATTAACTCTTGACTAGTGATATCTTCCAGACGATCAGCCAGCACATAGGCATGGGTCATCCGCCAGCTTAAAGGCCTGAACTTCATCACCGAGATGAATCTAGACAAATTCTTTATTTCATTCCTCAAGTACTCCCCATGTATGATACCAGACAGATAAAACAACTTGGCTCCAGGGTACACTTCAGTCCAAAACCTATGTTTCAGAGTTTTCTTTGTAGTCTTTAATGTTTTAGCATTCTTTATCATATCAAGATGAGTTAGTACACCCATGATTTTAGGCATGCCATGCACCTGACAGATGTTGAGGAACTCAAATATCTCCATCTCGAAACCGAAGCTGGCGTCGCATAGCAACAACACAAGATCAGCACACTTAGCGATGTCGATCATAGAGTTGATGTCGTTGTTACACTCTATTAACGTGATGCGGCGCTTCTTCGACGTTACGATTGTTATAGGACCGTTCGTGCTTGTCACATTGGTTTTGATGAAACTTTTTATCAAATTATTGATGAGTGTTGTTTTACCAACTCGAGGTGGTCCAACGATCGCCACGACGATAGGCGGAGGCTCCAACGGAGTTTTATCCACTTGGGGAATGTGTTGCTTCTTCGCAATAACATCTTCTCGCCTGCGGAACTGTCTCTCGGCTCTTACAGCAGACTGGATAGCAAATGCTTTAGGATTTCTCTGTCGAGCACTTAGGTTAGACTGGTCAACTTTGTTCTTATTTTTCTTCTTCTCTGCTTTGCGCCCGGCTTGCTTAGCGCGGTGCGACTTCTTTTTATCAAACACATTTTCGTCTGCCATATTAAAACTTACAATTTATTGCAATTAAACATCACGTTATTTCAAAATAACCTCACGTGTTATTAATGTGAATTATGACAGCCGATACCCGTCAGTGGCATGCATTGACATAGGAAATATATGGACTTGAAATACCTACGAAAAGAAGGTGCCTACCTACAATTCAAAATGTCGCATAAGATGGCTGCCGTTGCTAGGGTTGTGCCGACTAAGTATTTAACGAGTATCGATACAATTTGAGTAAAAGTTCTACGTAGGTATAGTTTTAGGGATTAGCCAGCTGATTAACGGTATTTTTTTATGGGAAATCATCTAATGTCATCTCCGGCCTTTTTCGGGACAGACCGTTACTGACTAAAATCAACTCCTGTTCCTACTTTGCCGTCGGCCTAGCTAGAACCCGGAACCCGGGGTTAACTTGGTCTCTTGATTGGCTAATGATTTTCTCAAGTCGAATTTGTATTCATATAATTCAACGTAAAGCGTCTTTTAAAAAAATAGGACTGTGTTTATGAACAGCGTTTAATGGAATGGTGAAATAGAAAAAGATAGTGTTTGTTAAATGTTTATCTTTATATATGTGGAAAACCTGTGGGTATTTGTGAAGTGCTCGCGCACAATTTCGGCGCGTCTGATTAAG